AACTCTTGGCTTCTTAGGCCCCTTAGTGCTCTGAAATTATCTGGATTTTATCTATATTGATTCTTCCAGTTATTAAATTACTATAATTAATAATAATAATTTAAATTTTTAAAATAAAAAACAAAAAATGTATTCTGGAATTGAAATTTTATAGTTAGCTTGAAATTTAAACGTTTGAATTTCTGAAATGTTTCAGATTTTATATTTTGTGTTGTTATTTGTTTCTCGAGACATTTGATATTTTTATAATTTGAATAATCTTTAAACATCATTGGAGTCATGAAATTGTCAATGTTAAGTTCATCTAACATTGATTCATATTGCACTTGATTTAATCCATTAAACGCATTTGTTTTGCAAACTCCAAATGCATCGGTTGATTTTATAGCGATTAATGTCACACTTTGAGGGATGGTGATTGGTTTGAGTCGAATACATCTTGCAAATGCTTTTGATTTAATGCTCAAATTGTATTTTGGATTTTCACATCTTGGAGATTAACACACCCTTTAAAACATTCTTTTGGTCTGACTGTTACAAAATCTGGTTTGTTCACTCGAAACAACAACTGTTTGTTTATATTCTTTACAAATATTGGGTCTTTAGAAAAATTAAGGATATCATACATATTACTGAAGGTGTTTTGTTCAATCTCTTTCAGTGATTTTGGTATAGTCAGTTCATTCACGTTCATACACTAAATAAAGTCACTTCTGTTGAGCTTGGTAATGCTTTCAGGTATAACTATCACTTGAATGTTTGATGGTTTTACAAAAAAAGAAATACACTTGGGATCACACACAATTCCAGAAACTTTTGCACAACTCACAAAAACATCTCCAATAATTGTTTTAACAGATAATGGTATTTCTATTGTTTCAAGATTGTTGCATTCCTCAAAAAGTTCCTTTGAAATTTCAGTGCATCCGTCATTGATTGTGACATACTTCATATATCTCAACTTCTGTAATTCTTGTATAATTCACTTGTTTTGGTCACCACGTTTTGTGGAGTATTTTCTATCCTTTGAATGATGTAAAGTTGTGCATCAATAAAAGGTGCAACTTTGTGAATAAAACACAAATGAAGAAGTGTTCCGTTCGTCCATCGAGGACATCCAATCTCAATTTGTTGCATTTAAGCTCACAAAACAAAAGTCTTGGGCGTTTGTAAGATGAAGAAACTTGTGATAAAAAAGTCTGTGAATTACAAACTGAAAATTGAACTTTTTGATTTTGTATTGACAAATCTGGTTGCATCTATGGAAATGCTTAACTCAAAAAGTGATGAAGTTGACAACGACACAAATGTGAATGACAAATATCACAAAATATGGTAAAAATAAAATTGTTACAAAGTGCACACTAAAAATGAAAAAGAGTTATCATACGTTATAAAGCCGACACTTGATGTGAAAATTTCAACAGAGATTTTCTTAATTTTAACCAACTTGAACAGTGGTCATAAATGTATTTCATTTTTTTATTGCAACTTAAGTTTGAACACAATTACAACAATTATAAAATAAAATAAAATAAAATTATTATCCACTACTTCGCTTACATTATTTAAAATTTCAATTCCATTAATTTGCAAACATTCATTATTTCAATTGAGTTGTGTTGTATTTGCGATACAACATCTGTGTTATTAACTCTTGGCTTACTACATTTTTGCATACCAAAAAAATAAAATATTCTTTTTACACAGAAAAAGCACATCAAGACAATTTGTCTGTGGATGGATAGAATCAATAAATTTATTAAGCCCCCAAAACTAGACAACCAGTTTAACGTTTGTAGAATTGACTTAAGAATGCTAAAATTGAATTAATGAACACTCAAACTTTTTACATAATATAAACTGTTTTTCAAAAGTCGGTACTGAGGTGTCCCGATTTTTTGCATTTATTTTGTTTATTATTTTTGGGAATCATTTTTTGTAATAAATTCGCTTATTTTTTCCAAGTAAAAAAGAGAAAAACAGTCTTCAAAAAATATTTTTTTACTTGAAGAATTTTTAAGCATTAAAAAATTCCATATAAAATTTGAAATAACGGGATTTTTGTTTCAGAAAAACACGTGAATTATCCCAAAAGTGCATTTTAGTACAAAAGCAAATAATTTTTAATGTCAATCTTTTTCATTATCAAACATTTTAATAATTAATGAAATATTCACAAAACAAAAGCTTAGTTCGAAGATTAGTATGCTTAGTAGTGTTGTCACAAAAACAATAAAAATGACAAAATGATTTGATAACTTATCTTTGTTGGGTTTTATAAAATCGACATTCTTTTTGAGCATTTCAGTGAAACATCTTTTTTAAAATATCCAATAACAAAACAATAATGTTATTTTGTATTATTTTTCTAGTGTTGTTCTTTGACAATTTGACTTATGTCTGTCAAAATTATCAAACATTTGCTGTAATTTATTTTTTGGTGTTTTTGGAACTCTTTATTTCATTATTTTTTATTCGGAGAACAAAACCACATGTTTGTTTTTAATTGAAAATGAAAAATTAATGAAAGTAATATTCAGTTAAAACTCGACACGAACAACACCATCTCAATTCACTTAAACGTTAATTGTTGTGTTTTTATGCCAACAATGCTGTGTATATGTTGTGAAGTATCGAGTTATGGTCAAATCAAATAACGGGATCGGGGTTTTTGGAAAAAGATGGCTAATATTCCGATATTTTCCCGAATTTGTACGAAAATAATTGAACGGGATTGGTATTTTTTTCAAAATAAAGTCAGTACTTTCGATTTTTTGTTTTTGTTTTTTTAGGAAAAAACAAAAATAAAAAACGGGACTTTAGGAAGTTCTAAAAATATGACAGTACCGACTTTTGAAAAACAGTTTATAATACTCTTTCTTAAACACAACCAGGCGTTTACCAAAATTTACACAGTTAATGCTGAAGCCCAAAAATGCTTCAGTGTTATTTTATAGAATGTTTTTTTTCGTTTTTAAGTCTTTTTTAAAAATACGTTTGTATGGCAAAAAATTAACATTATTTCCCTGTTTTTTAAAACAAAAACGAGGCAAAAATTAATACGCCTAATTGTGTTTTCAAATAAAAATAATCAAAAATGGATTATTTGTACCTTTTTGACAATTTTATAATAATTTATAATTATGTTATTTCCTTTCAAAAGAGTTAAGCCAGTCTTTGTATTTTAATGTCAATTTTGATATACTTAATTTATTATTATACTCATTTGAATTATTTATTCAAAGTGAATGTTTTTTTTTTAAAAAAACATATCGGTTAAAAGACCTACAGTTGATTTATTATTAAAATTGATACCAACTATATATTTTCAAATAAAACCATAAAAACTAAACAATTTGTTTTTTAATTTAATGAAAACTTTATTTAATCACGACAAAGTTATTACAACATCTGGTCATTGGTAACTATGTGTCGTAACAATTGGTGTTACAACACACAGCTGTTGTAACATATTTAAAGACTAAAATATGGCATAGAATCAAGATTTGCCAGTGACATACACAACCAATGTTGCTGAAGTGAAAGAGAGAATTGAAAAGAACAAGAACATTCTTGTCATTTTCAACTTTCCTGAGTGTGCAAAGTGCAAGGCAAGTGCGCCAATGATGGACAAACTAGCTGACGAACACAAACCTTAAGTTCTTCAAATTCGACGCAACCACAGCAACTGATTATGCTGCCGAATACTCAATTGCCTCACTTCCCACGTTTTTATTCTTCCAAAACCAGAAGGTCATTATAAAACGCCTGGCCGCTCTGAGGTTCTTGATGAGATTCTCAAAATGGTACAGTAATTAATTCACGTCTTTTTCATTATTTTTTGATACAATATTATGAATAAATTTTATGTTTTCAAATAAAGTATTGTTGTATTTATATCAAGTGTCAAGACTCAAAGTTTTGATTGAATCTTGACAAATGTAATGATGACGTGTCACTTTTGTGTATAAAAGGAAACTGATGTCAAAACAAACAGTCATCAGCAAGCATGGTGTTACACTTGGAAATGTTTGAAAATGTTGCAACAAAGCAAGATACACCTTTACATAAGAAGGCAGTTAAAACAGTCACATACATCACACTTAACAAGCAAGACGACAAGAAACAAAAACGGTGGGCTTATCAAAATCTCAAGAACAAGAAACCAAAAAGAAAGAATCCAACACATATTGAAATACGTTCACAATTTGCTCTCATCTAATTGTTATCTGATTTGACTTTTGTCTTTATTCTTGTTGTATTTTATCAACTTTAATTCTTTAAAAATAATATGATTATATAGAATTAAAATAAACAAAAATAGTCGGACAGACTTCAGTGCCTCTCATCCCAGAGTGTTGTGCACGCACTCGACCCCTCAACAAACAGTTCATGCATTGCTGTGTATATCCCTATGGCACTAAAGTGATGAAAAGTCTCATCCTTTTTGTGAAATCTATTGTCAGCGAAAAAACCATATGTCGAATATAACCAACTGGATAAAAAAAATAGTGTTAAATTGTTTTATTATTTATTACATACTACAAAATGAAAATTGATAGAATAATTACAGAATTCCAAAAATTTAAATTATTTTTCAAAAATATTTTTTTAACATTTTTATTTAACAATCTAAAAACTTGATATTCATATGTGCTATGTGATCGAGTGCAACGTGGTAACAGTTAAGTGGCATTTAAAAACATCTAACCGCAAGTGTAAAACAAACAATTTAGGAGTTATTGATACAAATATTTTAAATGTTGTAATAGTTTTTTAAACCAATAAATTCGAAAAATATATAAATTATAACATTATTTTTTATATAAATAAAACTTCTTAAAAAACAAACCTGTTGTTTGCTTTGCCTATGTGGTTGTTATTTACTCAATTTCAAATATTGTAAAATTGTTTTCGTATTACAATTAACAATTGGAAGAATGAAATTTATACAATCAAAGAGTATTTAATCATATTTTAAAACTTGATATTGTAAAATGAAATTGATAATCTTATTGTTATTTGCAACAACCATCGTTGGTTGGGGAGAAATAAACAATGTCATTAGACCAATTTATCTTGAAACATCAGACGAATGGACAATTGAAACTTATAATGAGAACGTTTTTACGTTCAATTATAATTGTTGTACATATCAAGAAAAAGGCTACAATGATACCAACCTAACTGAAAATGATGTATCAGTTAGTCGAGAATGGAAATTTTTTGGAATCATTAACATGAAACACTTTTTTCTTATGACTCGACCCGAAAAAGAGAAAGTGACTATTTATGAAGACGATCGACCAGAAGGACTTGTCATCACTTTTGGGTGTTTTGATGGAAGCACTGGGTGCAGACAAACACAAACTTTAAGAACTGAAATTTTTGTTAAAAACAAAGGAGTTGTATTACATTCAAAAATAGATGAACAATGGATTATAACAATTTCAAGAGATTTATACCAAGAAAAAATTCCACTTGTATATATCGATGGAAAAGTACAACAAACGGTATCAATAAATTTGTTATCTTTTACTCTGGTAGACGTTGATTATCCTGCAATGTATTTACTTTCTGGAATACTTATGAATGAAAATGTTAATTTATATACATCTGACTCTACTCATGAAATCAAGTCGGTGTGTACAAAAGGAAACTTTTCCAGAATGAAACTGGTTTCTAAAGAAGGTACAGGATATGGTCCCTCATATAATTGTAATTGCAATCCTGATAAATTAAAACCTTTTGATGAATTTGATTACCCAGATTGTAAACACAATAGTACATTCTTTAACTTAAATCTTGTTGAGTTCGATTTTTATCTATTTAAACAAGCGAGTTGGGAAACAATCACTTATAAAGAAAGCGGAGATCTATTACTTATATCGACTTTGGATTCACTTCATTTTACTATCTTGACTGTCATACAGATCGTTATGATATTTGGCGTTTACGTTAAAATTGACAAACTAATATTTGTAGAAGGAGACTTGCATTTCGAAATGGGTGCGTCAATAGATTCCATTGAATATACGAATCAAAATTTAGTAGAAACCACTCTTTTTTGTGTTAAAAGGGAATTTTACACAAAAAATAACTCGTTTGTGCAAAGAGGAAATCATGTTTTTTACATTCAAAACACATGCAATAAAGTTCCTTGTCCAGGAGACGATTGCATTGAAGTTAATGGGTGTTACTACTATTTAAATTATAAGTGCGACCGTGTTATTTTGTGCCCAAATGGGATGTTCTTTGATGAAAGCTGTAAAAATTGCACAACAAATGACCCCAATTGTGGGTATTGTAATGGATATGATTGTGTTGGGTGTAATGATGGTTTTGATTTTGAAGATGGAAAATGCACAATATGTCCAGTGAATTGTCGAAAATGTTCAGATAATTTGTGTATCGAATGTGATAAGGGTTTTTACTATGAGAAAGGGCATTGTATTGAGTGTTCCATGGGGTGTAATGTATGTGATAAAAATTCATGCAAGGAATGTAAAAAAGATCTTTATTTGAATAATGGAATTTGTATTGATTGCCAAACTTTTTCCTCCAATTGTATAGAGTGTGATGATAGACAATGTAAGACGTGTCAAGTTGGTTATTTTCTTAATCAAACTGGCATTTGTCAAATATGTGATAATATTTATCCGAATTGTAATTTGTGTAATGAAACTGAGTGTTTTGAGTGTAATGAATATTCATTTTTTATGGTGGAACTTGTGTTAACTGTTTTGAAAATTTTCCATCTTGTTCCACTTGTGACCCAAAACATTGTACTTCATGTAATAACGGTTATTTCCTTGAAAAAACTGATTGCATTGAATGTTTAAAAAAATACGAAAATTGTGCATTGTGCGACGAAACTTATTGTGACAGTTGCGTTGATGGATTTTTTATGTACAAAGAGCAATGTATTAGGTGTGATGCAAACCATGTAAATTGCATAATTTGTAACTTTACACATTGTCTAGCTTGTTCGGATGGATTTTTTGTTGAAAATGGAATTTGTATGGAATGTCCTATTGAATGCGAATTGTGTGCCCAATTTGGTTGTACCATATGCAAAAGTGGCTTTTATTTAAATAATGGACGATGTTTTCCTTGTTCAGAAGGATGTACAAATTGTGATGAAAATGGATGCTTTCATTGTACAAGTGACTATTCTTTAATTGATGGTACTTGTGAACTATGTGGAAACGTATTTCCCCATTGCTCGGTGTGTGTAGAAAATCAATGTAGAATTTGCGAAACGGGGTTTTTTATTGGTGCAATGAGCACTTGTCATCCATGTACTGATTATGATACAAACTGTGCTTCATGTAACGCTATGTTATGTTTGGGCTGCAATCGAAATTACATTTTAAAGGATGGGATGTGTGTAAAGTGTGGGGAGTTGTTTCCGAATTGCATGGAATGTACAACTGAAACATGTACCAAATGCTTACCAAATTATTTGGATAAAAATTCAATATGCCAACCATGTTCTGAAGTTTATACCAATTGTAACTTATGTAATAAAATTCAGTGCCAAGAATGTGATGTGGGATATTTTGTTGATAATAACCAATGTAATAAATGATTAACCAAATATCAAGGGTGTCAAATTTGTGACGAAACCAAATGTACGATTTGTGAAGAAACGTATTACTTGAATGGAAATGGATGTGTAAAATGCAATGAAACGTTCCATAATTGTATTACATGTACATCAATACAGTGCAACACGTGCTCAAACGGATTTTTTGTTGACCAGACTGTTTGTAGAGAATGTAGATCGAAGTACACAAATTGCATTGTATGTGATGGATCAAGTTGTTTAAGGTGTAAAAATGGATTTTTTGTTGAAAGGAGTGTTTGCAGAGAATGTAAATCAAAGTACACAAATTGCATTGTATGTGATGAATCAAGCTGTCTTGAATGTGAGAATGGGTTTTATATCGATAGTAATGTTTGTAAACCATGTAATTCCCTGTTTGATAATTGCATATCTTGTGACGTATCAAAGTGTTCTGTATGTAATAAAAACTCGTTTATAGAAAATGGAATTTGTACTTTATGCTCGACTAAATTTACTTTGTGCGATAGATGCAACATCACAACATGTCATTCTTGTTCAAGTGGTTCTATTTTGGACAATGGTATCTGTTCAACATGTGAAACAAAACATACAAATTGTGAAGTGTGTGATGAAACGGATTGTTATAAGTGCAAAACTGGACTCTTTTTACGTGATGGGAAATGCCTTAGCTGTGGTGATATCTATGACAATTGTACAAAGTGTGATGAGACAAGATGTTTGGAATGTATGGACCACTTTTATTTGTCGAATTACAATTGTAATGGTTGTGAATCAAATTGTGATATTTGTTACTCCGAATCAACTTGTTCCAAATGTTTTGAAGGATATTATTATAAGGAAGATGACAAGACGTGTTCATTGTGTGACACAAAAGGATACTACATAGACAGTAAAAGTTGTAATAAGTGCAGTGCAACATGCATCGATTGTTTGTCTCAAACAAAATGTGTGTCGTGCATCGAGGGGTATTATCTCGAAAATACCACGTCAGAAGAAATGACAGAATTTTTTGGAAGATGTACAGACTGTTCAACACGTGGTTGTACAACATGCAATTCAACATCGTGTATAACATGTGAAATCAATAAATACATTGATGAAGGTGGGTTGTGTTCTGTGTGTAAACCCGATAATGACAAATGTATTTCATGCTTCGTTGATGAAAACCGAAACAAAAAATGTGAGAAATGCAAACCGGGATTTTGGATAGAAGATTTCGAATGTGTGACTTGTGAAACGTGTGGAAGCAATGGGTGCTCGAACAAAACGAACGGACTTTGTTTCAACTGTTTATCTCCAAATGAAGTTTTGATTGAGGGTATTTGCCAAATTGATGAAAATTGTGTCTCCATTGAACCCAAGACGAGTGCCTGTATAGCATGTGATTCAGATTTTGTTTTGATAGGTAAAAGGTGTGTCAAAACACAACAAAATATAACAGAAGAACTAATCCACTTCGAAGGAAATTATTTTACAAAAGAGGAGTTTCATTGCAAAGAAGTATCTGATTCGAATTGTGTTTTGTGTTTGGAAGAATATTACTTAAAAGACCTACAATGTCTCAAATGTGATGAAATACTTACAAATTGCATAAAATGTGGACTTTTGAATTACTCAAATTACAACGAAGTTTATTGTGATGTTTGTTCCATTGGGTATTTCCCGGAAGCTGTTTGTAAGAATTGTTCGGAAATTAATGGGTGTGATCTTTGTGTCAACTACCTTGAAAATGATATATCTTCACGAAAGTGCACAAAGTGCCTTGATGGGTATAAGTTGTCCAATTACACATGCAAAGAAATATCGCATTGTGTAATTGGTGTTGGTGAGAGCTGTGTCAAATGCGAAAGAAATTTCTTGGTATCATCTGGGGAATGTGCGCCATGTGGAGATGTCGTGGAAGGTTGTGTGGAAAGTCTTTCAAATCAGTGCACTAAATGTGACGATTTGTATTATTTGAACTCCGACTTTATGTGTGCAAAATGTGGTATCTCAAATTGCAAGAAATGTGATGCCACACAATGTGTTGAGTGTTTGACAAATTACACACAAAGCTTAGACTATTCTGCATGTCTTCCATGTGATGATATTCCAAATTGCCAGAACTGTGACAATAAAATTCCAATGAAATGTAATCTGTGTTCTCAAAATGCGTATTTCAAAACGTCAGACACTTGTGAAAAGTGCACTTCAATACCAAAGTGTGTTGTGTACATTGTATGGGGAGTGCAGACAGTGTATTTCTGGACACTATCTGGACAATGATGAGTGTCATAAATGCAACGAAATTGATGGATGTCTTGAATGTACAGCAACAAAGAAATCTTGCACAAAATGTAATGAGACGTTTTTCTTGGAAAATGGAAAATGTGTGAAGTTCAAAGACTCTTTTGCAAATTCGGTGTTGTGCGACCAATTACAATTGGTGACGTGTGAAAAGGGGTATTTTATCAAAAAGAATCGCTGTGTTGGATGCAATTCCATATTTGGTTGTGTTGAATGTGATAATGGAATAAGTTGCACCAAATGCCAAGATGGGCTCAATTTGTTTGATAATAGTGGGATTGATGAGTGTTCATTGAATTGTGGCATTTCACATTGCACTAAATGTGCATCTTCATCATTGTGTAATAAGTGTGATGCGCCTTATGTGCCTGACGGAGGGAGATGTGTGTACTGTTGGGACAAACATCCACATTGTGCAGAATGTGACTCACAGAGTGGACAGTGCACATTATGTGAACTTGGACAATACAATTTAGTAGATAATAGGTGTGTTGAGAATGAAATCAATAATATGTTGATGACAAAAAGTGCACTCAATTGTTTAGAAGATGAAGTTGAAAATGTCGAAGGTACTTCTTGTGTAAAAATTAAGATTTACGAATACAAGAAAAGCTCAACCGAAGCTGCGAATTGTTCCTCTGCTATTTACAAATGTTACCAATGCAATTTCACGGCACTTGGAGATAATAAACGATTGGAGTGTTTGTTGTGTAAAACCGGCTATGGCTTTGAATCTTTAGAACACAAGAAATGTGTCAAAACAACCAATTTAGTTGACTTGAATGGATTTATTATTTATTGTAAAGAAGGATGTTTAACATGTACCAACTCTTTGAGTTGTTTATACTCAAAAGTGTTTGCGTTTACAACAAGGTATGAATATGAGTATATTTACAACAATCATGAATTTTGCCAGAAGTATTCGGTTGGGTTTGGGTGTGTCGAGTGCCTAAATTCGATTAATCAAAAAGGGATTTGTGATTTGAATGAGAGAAGCAAATACTGTTCATTCACTTTAGAAAAAAATAACACATTTAAATGTTTTGATTATAATGAAATTCTTAAACAGCAAAAATTATTGTTTAATAACTACAAAATGATGTTTTATAATTATATTTCTTCAATTCCAAAAAGTGAAGAAACCAATTGTGATGTATATACAATGGGAAGGTGTGTATCGTGTAAACAAAGCTTTTATTTAACACAGGAATCTCCTCCAAAATGCTTACCATGCTCACCAAATTGTGAAATGTGTGATTCTACTGGAAAGTGTCTTACCTGTTACAAAGGGTACTATATTGAAAACGAAGAGTGTGTTGAAATCGAACATTGTGCTAAAAAGACGGTTGGTGGGTGTTCGTTATGTTTAAGTGGATATTTCCTGAAAGATGGGAAATGCCACCCACTCTCAGAGAGCAACTGTACTTCTTATACAATCACAAATACCACCGAATTGATATGTACAAGATGCAAAGAAGAGTATGTTTTATTGGACACAAAATGTGTTGAAAAATCAGAAGAATTTTGCAGTGAGGTTGATTCGTATACGTCGCAGTGTATAGTCTGTAATATTGAATACACACTGAACGAATATAAAAGGTGTGTTGCAATTGATAAAAATGAGTGTATTCACTCATCTCAGTATAATTGCTTGCAATGTAAAAATTTTTTTTCGTTGGTCAAAGACGAGAACGGAGATGAACAGTGTTCAATTTCCGAGTCGAGTAGGTATTGTCTTGAAAATGGAGAAACGGGTTGTACCAAGTGTTATGAGGGTACTTTGTTGATGGTAAAAAGTGTTCTCTATGTGATCAAAAATGCAAACAATGTTCCACAAGTGCTACAAGTTGTATCTCATGTAAGTTTGGGTATTACAACGACTCAAATGGTGATTGTGTTCCGGTTGGAGAACTTGCCAAAAAGTGCAAGACGTTCCTTCCGAGTGGTGAAAAGTGTGCAATCTGTAAAGATGGCTTTGTTGTTAAAAATGCCGATTGTATCAAATGTGTAGACAAATGTATGACATGTGCAAATAGTTTCTCGCAATGCATTCAATGCAACACCAATGGTGGGTATTACGAAGACGTTGAGTTCTCAACGGCTTATGAAAAAGAGTGTTTAGCCAGCACGAATCTCACCAATTGTATTACTCAAAGCGAAGTAGGATGTTTGCTTTGTCAAAATGGATATTACACCAATGAATATAACAAGTGCACAAAATGTGGAGACACCTGTGAACTGTGTACAAGAGCAAATTTTTGTCAAAAATGTGTTGATAATTATGTATTACAAGTTAACACAAAACAGTGCATCTTGTGGTCCAATATAGAAAATTGTGCGTCATATAACTCTTCAACAAGAAAGTGTTCAAAGTGTTCTAGGAGTCGTACAGTGAGTGAGAATGGAGATGAATGTATTCCAGTTACAAACATTGTTGCAATTGTTCTTCCGATAGTTTTTGTGGTGATATTCATTGTTCTAATCGTTGTTATTTTTGCACTCATTGGGTTCTATATCCGTAACAAGAAGCTTGAGAATAAGAGAAAAGAGTTGGTAAATGAAACATTGATCTCAGATGCAAAGAGCCACAACATCACATTCTTCAGACTTGGTGATGAAGACTCTTCAGTGGTTTCATCGACAAATAAACTATATTATGAGTCTGAGATCACAGTCAAAAAGCCAACATCTTTGGTCTTTTTGATTGGCAACGAAAAGAAGAGAAAATTGAAGTTCCAGTTTACAACAAAAGACCATGAAGGAAAGTACGAAGTCGACGTCAAACCACAATTAGTGACAATCAAAAAAGGACGGGCTGTTGAATTTACTGTTTCTGTCACTCCATTGTGTACATGTGAAGCAGATTTCGATGTGATATTGACTGTTTTAGATATGCGAAAGGGGGAGTCGACTGAAATCAAGATACCATGTTCCTTTGCATCTGAAACATCAACTGCACTTGACCCAGACGAATTACATAAAGAAAATAAATTAGGTGAAGGTGGATTTGGTATAGTTTACAAAGGCACCTTTCGAACGAATGTTGTTGCTATCAAAGAAATGAAACAAATGAGTAAAGATAGCATGGAAGAGTTTGAAAAGGAAGTTGCGATGTTGGACAAATTTAGAAGTGAGTATGTCGTCCACTTCTATGGTGCTGTCTTCATCCCAAGTAAGGTGTGTATGGTCACTGAATTTGCTAAATTTGGAAGCTTTCTTGACTTGATCAAAAAGAGAAAGAACGACCCAATTGACTTTAAAATGCGAGTGAAGATAACATTGGATTCTGCAAAGGGTTTAGAGTATTTACACAACAATGGTATATTACATAGAGATGTCAAACCAGATAACACTCTCGTTGTGTCTTTGAATAAAGAAGACGCCGTTAATGGCAAATTGACTGACTTTGGAGCGTCAAGGAACATCAACAGTCTTTTAAGTAACATGACATTCACTAAAGGTATTGGAACACCAGTGTATATGGCGCCTGAAGTAATGAACCAAGAGAAGTACACATTCCCTGCCGATGTGTATTCATTTGCTATTGGCATGTTGGAGGGAATCAGTTGGAAAGACCCGTATCCAATTCAAAAGTTCAAATTTCCATGGAGCATTTCTCAGTGGATGATGGAAGGAAAACGCCCAGAAATATTAGTTGATAACGAAGATTTAATTAATCTAATCGAACAATCGTGGAAACAAAACCCAATCGATCGACTTGATATCAAAGAAATAGTTCAAGAGCTTCAAAAGATACACAACTCTTTGAATTAAAATGGTGTTTTTATTTGGTTATTATTATGAATTGTCATTGTTTTATACATTTAGTAATAAATAATAAGTGTGATTTTCAGATATCATTTGGAATTATATTAATTTAAATGTCATTGACATTTTTCTTATACATGATTACACAACTTTATTAAATTGTTGTGTAATTAATTTAAAAGTGTAATTTAATATTTAAACTAATAACAAAATATACAAAATAAATATGTTACAACTTTTGCAGTAATTAGAAAAATTTTTGTGTATTTTTTTGGTGGTTTTATTTAACTATATGATATGTGGCTGTTTGTTCTTTGTAAATTTACACAAAGTGTAAGAATCCAATATTAATTAAACATTTTTTGAAAACCACAATAGTCACTTTTTTAAACGTTTTTTGTTACATTTGAATCATGAAAAATGAAGTATTTGGAGTAACTATTGTGAATAATTCATACAACTGTTTTTGTTTTATTACATAATTAACCAATGTACATTTTTCACACAAAATGATTTTAAATACTGACTTTAATTGATAATAAAGTGATTCTATAACCAACATTGTGTTCTTTTGTGTGTTTAACTTTGTAACAACAACCTTGTAAATTTATTATGAACAGACATCGGAGATACGTAAAAAGTTAAAATCAAACTTATGTACAGAGATTACTTCTAATTATAAATTAAGTAAATACACATCCATCTACAAATATAATCAAGACTTATGCCTGTCTTCTTGTTTTGATTTTTCTATTTTTATGAACATCCAATAATCGAATATCACGTTTTTACAAGCGAGAAATGTTATATCATTTTCATATGAAGATATCGACATAAATGTTGACAGTAATTATAGTATTTTGCATTTATTGAACCTTTATAAATGTTGTATAAATAATTCAACAAGTAAAATAATAGTAAGATATTCCCGATTTATTAAGTATTTAATATTTATTATTAATTTTTCTATTTTTTGAATTGAAAACAGTTTTTTGTGTTGAAATAATAATTCACAAAAATTCATTTTTTTAACTGTTTTTTTTCCTAGACTTTTAGTAAAAAATAGTTCAAATTAATTATTATTTTACTTTTATTGTATTTTGACAGAGTCAAATAATCCCACATATAAAACAACCACCAGAAATGTGAATTATTAGCATTACAATAATTATTTTACTATTCATTTAGTTTTGTTTATAATAAAAGGTAAATAATACTTCTTTTCCCGCTTTTTTATGTCAACAACCAGCACCTAAAATCATTTTTCGAATCATCTAACAGCAAACAAACTATTTTAAAATGCATATTTTATTTTTATTTCAGATCACATCTTTCCATAAAAGAAACACAACTACCAGATAAACTATATTTTATAGTTAATTAAAATCTGATGTTTAATCAAAAATCACTTCTTTTTAGCAGTGTTCTTTTTTCAAGAATGGGATAGCTACAACAGGTAGCTATCCCATTCTTTTTCTTTCAACTTGTGCAACAAAAAGTTTCAAAAAATGGACAAAGGCAAATCTTCTATTAAAAAAATTGACTTCTTGCATATAAAAAGAAGTGAACAAAACACAAAAAGAAGTAATGCAAACAGTAAGAACACCTGAAGATGAAGATAATGACGCAAATTACAATTTCTTAAGTGAAGCAGAAAGGGTTGAATATCATCATGTTGAGTCCCTTTTAAAAGAGACAATACGAGATCGTTTCCTTTGTAATTTAGACTTACAAAATAATCTAATGTTTTTTATTTACTTCTCACGATGTTTTATGAGTTTTTCGCCATATAAAATGTCTTCTTCATCATTTTCAAAATGAAACTCAAAATTCGACAAAATCACAAATTGAATAAGTTGAATTGAAATAATACACTCTATTTACTGCGTAAAGACTCTCTTCGCCTCTTGAAGTGTTTGTGTGAACACCTGTAGCCGTTGGTCGTACGGGGACTTTTGGAAGTCGGTCAATGCCTCATTCATTAACTCGTCGATTCTCGACAAATACTTTTGACTCAAGTCTTCTTCGTTTCTCATCACACACAACTCGCCGTCATAGCAGCTGACAACACCCTGTGTGAATGCGCACTTAACAGTTCCATGACTTTCTTGTCTGTCTGACTGTGAAAATGGCTGTTGACAAATCACAAAAGGTGATTGGAGTGGTGGGGGTGGTTGAAATTCTCTTCTATTTCCTTTTTCGACATCTTGTTGGGCGGCTGTTTTCTCGAAAATGTCGAAATTGTCGCCGTCTCTGATCTTTTCGTTTCCGTCGACTCTTTCCGGTCGGTCTTCTTTGTCGCGCCGGTGTTTCAGTTGATATCCTTTCTCTAACATTTGCCGTCGACACGCCTCCGAGTGCGGTTTCGCGACTGTGACTAAGACGACTTTCTTCTTAATTGTTGTCGAGTACTTCTCTCCATACAATTTCGAATCAAAACTCTTTAAAACGGCGTTTGGATGTAACGCGTAGATTTTGTTGTCGATATTAAAGATGACTTGTTCGTGTTTGAATCCGTTTCCGCTGATTATCGTTCGTAACTGGACTTCGCGAATGAACGCGTGCGCGTCACAGCCGACTTTCGAAGTCTTCTCTTTGACTTTTTTGTACTCGGTATTACAACAGATCCGTTTGATCCATATCTTGTGTTTCTCTTTCGAGACTGAAGCATCGCCGTAACACCCGACTTGAATCACTCGATCTAGAAAACAAAGCGCTTTGTCAAGCGAGTCAAACACAAAATAATGACTCATCGAGACACACCCACGCATTATCACCTCGTTGAAATCAGTCAGTTTGTCATAGACTATCCCTCCCCGTTTGCTTGTTAACATCGTTTAGATTAGAAAGTTAATGTATTACTATATTTATTAAAAATCGATATATTATAGTATATTTTATAATACAAAATATATTATAATGAAACTATTATTTACTATTTGTTTTATTTTTAAAAGATAGAACTATTTTAATTAAGTTTATTATTGTGAAATTTTGTTTATTATTTAAAATTACAAAAATTTTTTGTAATTTTCGCAAGAAAAATATTTTTCAGAGAAAGAAAAACGGAAATAAAAAAAAAGAACGAACAGTTTATAAAAGTTGGAATTTTTTTTCAAAACGAAGAAAAAAGTTATTAGATTTGTTTTTACTTGAAATTTTGGTTTTTTCTCATTGCTCCAATCTCGTCGAAACCATTAAACTAATTTAAAAAACCTATCAATTTAGTTCATTTTGTGAACTGAAAAAAAAGAGAATGAAGAGTGGCGTGATTGTAGGTATCAGAATACGTCCGCAGAACGACAGTGAAATAAATGATTCATGTGTGAAAGCAGCCAACAAAACAACTTTAGTTTATTTCTCAAGTGAAAAGGATTTTGAGAACTTCAATTTTGATTTTGTAGCAGACCAAGATTCAACGCAGGAACAACTCTTCACAACTGTAGGTATTCCTTTAGTCGACACAGCTCTATCAGGATACAACTCTTCTTTGTTTGCTTATGGACAGACTGGATCAGGTAAGACGTTTACTACATTTGGTTTGTTTAATATCACGATTGAATCAATAACTATAATAATAATAGTATAATATCTATATGAAGTGCTATATATATATATACTATACTATAATAGTATTTATATTATAATAAAGTGATAATAGTAATCAAAAGGGGATTGTGATAAAGAAGAGCTGAGAGGTATCATTCCTCGCTCACTGAAGTATCTATTCGAGAGACTTAACAACCAAAATGAAGGCGGAGTGATATCAAGTGTGTCGTGTTCGATGGTAGAAATATATAATGAGAATTTGATTGACTTGATTGACAAAACTAAGTCGGAGATTTCCGTCTCTTGTGTCGGAGGAGTTCCTGGCGAAACTCTGAAGCCAAGGAAGTTGCCAGTGAACAACCCCGAGCAAGTTTCAGTGACCAATTGGGAGTCGACGTGGGCGATTATCCAGCGTGGGTATAAAATGAGACATACGAGTGCAACCCTTTCCAACGATCACTCGAGTCGGTCGCACTGTGTTTTCACTGTATTTATCACGAAGCAAAATAACTCGCAAAACTCTCAAAGTAGTACAACAACATCGAAATTGACTTTTGTTGATTTAGCCGGCTCCGAGAGACAATCGAAAACACAAACTAAAGGGGAAACTTTAAAAGAAGCGGGGAATATTAATAAGTCGCTGGTCACATTTGGGCGAGTGATTCACGGCCTAGTGCAACAGAGCGAAGGGAAAGAGTGTTTCATCCCATATCGAGACTCTAAGTTGACACAATTAATGCGGGATTCATTGGGAGGGAATTGTAAGACGTTTATAATAGGAACGGTGTCCCCTTCGATGTCTGCGATTCGAGAAACGTCGTCGACGATCAAATTTTGCTTTTCCTCGCGAAACATTCAATGCATTGTCAAGAAGAATAACGTGTTCAGTGGCACCAACGAACAACTAAAAGACGAATTGGACCGGCTCAGAGCCGAGAATGAAGAATTGCGCAATTGCCGATTTCCAATGGCCGACACAAAGGAACTCGAGAAGGCAAAAGGGCAGATCCGGCATTTAGAGTTTACCATGTTTGCTAAAATGGACCAAGAAAGGTACTTAAAAGAAGTGATCGAAGAGCTCAAAGGGAAAGTCAAAGACAAAGACAATGAGCTTCTTGAGTGGAAGAAGAAGTGCAAAGAGATGGAAGACAAGCGCAAAATGCTTGAGCGGAGTATTGAGAATTTCAGGAGTCAAAAGAAGACGGTCAACGAAATGAAGAAATTTGTGACGGACGAGATGGAGAGGTGGAAAGTGGTAGAACAGGAGAATCCTGAACTATTGAGTCTGAAGAATGAAAATAAAGAGTTGAAGGAACAAATTGAGAAGACATTGAACGGAGAGAATCGCGACGAACTCAATTTGGTGATCATGGAAAAGAGTGACGAGATCACCGTGTTAATGAAACAACTCCGAGAAGTGTCGGAGGAGAAACAAAATTTAGAAAAAGAAAAGGACGCACTGAAGAAAAACGCGACCGAGTGCGTCGTCAACGAGTTCAAAGACAAATTGAAGAACTGTGAAATGCAAATCGTCGAATTCAAATGCGCTTTGGAGCATCGAGAAAAGAGAATCGAAGACTTGACTATCGATAACGAAGCACTTGTGGTAATGGTCGATCAACTGACAGATAGAATTGGAAAATACTCAAGAAAAAGTGTGATGGAATTGAAAGAAGAAGTACTCAAATGCGACGAAAAGAAGATGGAAATGTGTTGAATGATTGGATGTGTGTTATGTTCATCGAATACAAATAAATGTTATTTGTTTTGTTTTTCGGGTTGCTAATGACCCGTCATGCGGTGACGTAATCGTTGAAGAGTAAAACTATGGTTATAAGTACTATAAAAAGAATTATTTAAAAATAGTGATTGATTATAGTATCATTTTTAATTAAAAAATATAATACAACTATAATAAAAATTATAATAAAATTATAATAAAAATATAATAAAATTTATTTTTTTAATTGTAATACAAAAAATGAAATTATTAAAATAGTAAAAAAAGCTATACAAGAAAAACAGAGTACTTTTGACGTAAAATCTTGTAACAAAACGTGACAAATTACCGAGACAGACCGAGATTGAATCCAATAAAAGGAGAACTTTTGTAGAGTAACTTAATCATGAAAACGGTTAATGTGTTAGTGATTCATTCACATTCAGGGGGATATCGAACTTGGGACTACATCTCTGAAAATTGGAGAACGTTTGGACGAGTAAGAGTGAAAATGACATTCAAGAAGTTTGTGATTATGAGTATAGTTATTATTATTATTTACTATAGTTTACTATAGTTTATGTCACATATATAGTTAATAAATAGGTAATTATAGTTATATTTTAACTATCACACTAATCAAAAGATTTGTGACAAAAGACATTCTGGAAAGTTGTAACCCGGACGTACTTGTACTTGGGGATTGCGCTGGTGCGCCGTATCAGTTCAAAGACGAGGAGATGTCCGCGATAGAGAACTTCTTAGAGAAACACGTAGAGAAACATTTGTTGGGGACATACGCTCTCTTCTATCACCGAGAAGGGACAGAAGGGAGAATGCACGTCTACGACAATAGAAGACTCTGCGAGTTGTTTGGGATCAGAAGAGGAACGGAATTTGGAACAAAGAGACTTACTGACAAGCCAACGTATCAAATAGTCGAACAACACCCACTCATTTGGAAATGTATCATGCAACCATACACGTCGAGAGGATACTCGTCTACACAAATCCCGAAAAACCAGAAGTGGCTTGAATATGGGCAGAGTAGAAGCGATGTGATGACGGATAACACTTCCGTCCTTGCAAGAAGTCTGGATGGCTTTTGTGTTGTACTCAATCATGTCACTGATAAATACTCGTCGTTGTATATCAGTCACATGCCTGAATATGAGTCCTTGGTCGGGTCAAATGTCGACGCTCAATTTTTGTATAACTGCATCGTGTTCTTGGTATCCCAAAGTTTGTGAATTTATTATCTACACAAGTAATGAAGGAGTTATGTGAACGAATGACAAATAGATGTGAATACAACGTTGTCTGATTTGTGTTGTAAGTGCCTTGTCGAGAGGAAAAGGGCATATCAAGGATTACCTTTTGCTTTGTCATTAAAATTGAAAAGGATGAGAGACGAGGTTGAACAGTGAGGGAGGAATGTAATACCATGTAAATGATTGTATATGATTGAATTGATATTCGAAATATAATTTAATATAATAAAATATAATAAATTATATTATAATACTATTTAGATATAATTAAAAAAATTATAATAATATTTTAAATGTTGTTGA